CCCCCCCCGGGGGGGGGGGAACTTCCCCCCGGGGTAGCGTTGAAAAAAAAAAAAATCCCGCGGTATGTCAATGTTCCCCTGGGGGGTTGGTTTCACAAAAAAAATAGATCCCCTCCTCGGGGGGAATACTCCGTAGTTCACGGTACATCCATTGATCCACAGGCGCGTGTGTTTTTGCACACCCACCGGCCAGCGGTGTACGTGATCTGCTTAATGCTCAGGTACCACATCGTTGCAGTAGTTGCGCAGCATTTTGAACCCCCTTCTTCATGCGCATCCATATTGATATCCTCGAAGACTCTTTCACGATGGACTCTCTCGACTGCCACCCGGTTCTCGACCTCCGCCACCCGCCTCTTTTCTCCAAACCCACACGCCTGTATCTTGCTCTCTCCTTATTGCTCCGAAATCTGGTTGTCGAAGACATCAGTCTTCCTTGAACCATCCAAGCCGCTGCTATCACGGTGTAACACTGTAGTCATCGGGAGCTGCAGTTGCCCGTTGTGCCCGACCGAAGTTAAAGGAGCTTCGACTGACCCCCTCCCCCCCCCTCTTCGCGTTCCCCCTCCCCCCAAAATATGGAATGTTTGGATTTACTTGCACGCGGGCGGGACTGAACCAATTCGGTCTATCCGCAGCCGGAAAGGTTCCGGGGGTGGTGTACTCGAACAGCGACAACAGGGGCCACAGCAGCAGGCCTGGCGGCGGTGTCGGGCGGCCGGCGGATGACCCTATTCTGGTGAAGGTGGACAAGATCGTGCTCGACCGGGAGGTTCAACGGCTGAACGCTTCCTTCGACAACACGGTACGCGGAAGCGAAATTACACTTGGTGCGTCCGTCCCACACGCACGTTGAACTACTGCTTTGCCCGGCACGCTGGCTGACACCGCTGGACGCAGGCAAGCCTCCAGAGGCTCTGCCCCACGTTGTTCAAGCACAACCTATCTTACCGCAAGCGAAGCATTATCCAACAACGCCACCCTGTTGTGCCCTTTTCCAGGCACCCTCGTCTGTTTGCTTGTCCAGCGTTGCACCCAAACAGTAGAGTCGTTTGATTTTTGTAGTGGCATTTTCGCCGAGCCTAGTCGTTTTACTCAACACAAGCAGCACTGTCCCTCGATTGAGACGAGAGTTCCATCGTCAAATGACTCGACCCAACAACTATTGACCCCCCCCCCCCCCAAGTCATACGCAGCTGTCATCCGTACGCAAGGAAGTAAGCACGAGATGCCGAACACCCTTAGCAGGATGCAGCGCACCCTTCATGCGACTCGCCGAATATCTCACGGCGCTTCGCGCTTGGTGATGTGAGAGCCTGGTCCGGTGAGAACCCGGCGTGCTCCGTCCCGGCTTTGTAGGGATGCGAGGTCAATGGGCTAACGACTACGGCATGCACGACCATGAGTACCCCCCCCCCCCTCTTCTTGTTCTCGCGGGCGAAGGCCAATGAAGGAGTCAAGTGTGCTTCTCTGGCAGCAAGTGATTGCCCCAGCACGCCCTTCCCAAACTTGTCTAACGTGACCCGTCCCACCCCCCCCTTCCGTCTTTCTCCTGGTTTCATGAAGGTGTACGATTTGGTGATCGAGGGGGAGACATCGTCTGGGGACGGTGCCGCCGATGACGGGATAGAAGTTACAGTAGCAGACCCGGGAGCGGGGGGAGATCGGGGCCAGGAGGAAGAGGAGGGGGCATCGGCAGGAAAGGGAGGGGTAGAGGAGGGCGCACAGCCGCAGCAGCAGCCCGAGCGCCGTGAGCTCGTTCTTGCGAACCAAAGTCGCCTACACCCCGGTGAGTTGAGGGAAGGATGGGTTGGTGTCGCGCGTGCGGGAGCTGCGACTATGGTTTGTGGTGGAGCGAGGGACGACGTTTGTTGAAACCACCGGTGTGATTTTTCGCGAATTGCTTCTTCGTGAAAACCCCGCACCACTTACCTCGTAGTTCTCTACTAACACTCTGAGGTAACGGTTTAACGGCAGACTGTTGCCGTTGGTTCAATCTCCCGCCTGCTGCTGTGCGCCCGCTGCAGTCACGGTTTGATTTTTTTTTGCTTTTATTGTCTTTTTTCCGTCCAGGCGAGGGTGGTTTTGGGTGCACTTGTCGGTTTTTTTATGATAGTGCGGCAAGACGCGTTCGATTAGTCTGGTGGAGGCATCGAAGTAGCATTGGTGTGGTTGTTGGGGTGTCTACTCTCATGTAGGAGATGTACAATAGCTCATCATTTCATGTCTCCCTTAGGCCTGCATCCTGAAGAGTAGCTACCGTGATTCTTCGTGTAGGACACCAAGCTGGGTGGTTTCTCATGAGCAACATCACTCCGAACACCAGCAGTACAGAGCAAATGAATTTGAGTGACAAGCTCGTGTACTCGATGTCGTTCTTATTGAAGTTGCTCCGCAGGGATTCAAATGCTACAGGTCACATTTTTCGATCGTCGGACCTCCGCACAATAACCCTCTCAGTACTCTTCCAAACCGTCTCGAAACGGAATTCCGTGAGGCACAGGCTAGATCCCAGTACATACTCTATTCGGGTATTCAGTGGGTCATGGGAGGCTATCTCCCAGACCAAATGCGAATGTCTTCATTGAAAGGCCCCGAGCATGTGCCGATACGATTGGTGTTCTCTTTGCGCGCAGCAACATGCGACGAGAAAAACACCCACAAAATGCTCGAGAACTGCGTGCGCCATTCGCTACGCTACGAAGGAGAACTGACCACAAGAGCGGTGCGTCCCGATGCAAACTCAACCAGACACCATCGTTTTATCTCTCCTCGACAGCATTGGCGATCCTCCGTGTTATTCTCGACGAGGCGGGTAGGTACGGGAACGGCAGGAGCTATGGTTACTGCCGGAGCCGTGAGCAGCCCCAATACTTTGGGCCTGTGCCGTTGTAAAGCGGGATGTAGCGGCGGATGTTTTGATGGTCGAACACATGCGACACGCAGGATTACAATGCAGCGTCACCCCCAATCACCTTACGAAGCTGGCTCTCATACTCCATCGCACTCCTCTTTTTTGACGCATTTTTTTTTGTTTTTCGGCTTTTTTGTCAAGTGTTCCGCACCCTCCTGAGCGTAAACTGGATAAGATACAAGGCCGGTCGGAAGTACCCGATCCCCATCAAGTTCATCAACAGCGACCTCAACGAGAACTTCCGGAAGGGGGCGTACATTCGCAGGCGAGTGGCAGCGGCGGCAACAGCAGCAGCAGCAGCAGCAGCAGCAGCAGCAGTATTGCAACAGCAGAAATCGCACCGTTGATTCGCATGGCGTCGACATGCCCGCAGATGTTTGGTTCGCCCTGAATGCAGCAGTGCCGTGCCGGCTTTCTTCCATGGGGTTGGCAAGACGTTAACCCCACGATCCCCTACCTCGTGCAGCCCGCCCCGGCCCCCAATCCCTTCCTGAGTAGGATGCACGATGCTCGGGGCTATTGCTCAGTTTTTGGAAATTGGACTGGTCTGAGGATATTTCACACATGCGGTGCTGAAAAATGTGTTCTCGTGCCCCCCCCCGTGCTCCCACCATCACGCCGTTGTAATTGGTGTTGGGGCCTTGCGCTTCGCAGGTTGAAGACCCACCAGAACATCCTCCTCCCGGAGGACCCGGAAATGGTTCCCAAATGGCTCTACTTGGATCTCGAGTTTGTTCGGTCCGGAAGCAAGGTAAGCCAGCTGCCTTGCCCTGCCCCGCCTCCCTTCCTCGTCCTGCTCTGCTATAATAGGTTTCTCGATTGCGCGTCCGGTTCTCGCTGCACAATATATGCGGGGGGGGGTTGGTGGTTTCTCCGTGCCGGAACCCGTTTCATCTAATTGACTCCCTGCTAGCTCACGCGCGTTGCTTGATGGGCGTTGGACTTCCGTTCGCTTTAATCTTTTCGTTTGGGAAGGAAGGTGCCACCCCGCCCCGTCTTGCATTACTGTCTAGGCGTGCGTCCTCAGTCCGCAGTCTGGTGTGTTTGCTCGCGATCGGCGTGGGTTCGAGTGGGCGTCAATCCGCCCCCACCGCGGAAAGGCTGTAGGTGTTTCTCTCCTGGTTGTAGCCATTGCTGACGCCGTTTGTTGCAACCTCTCTCCCTTTCTTCCTCTTCTTCTCTCTCTCATTACGTCGTCGCTTCAAACAGTTCGAGGCACGAAGCGAATTGCCCTCAACCTGCAACCCTGATTTTTTTTTTCACCATTATCTTCTCCCTCCTTCTGCTCTCTTGTGTTTTCCGAACAGCTTCGAGTGAGCGACCTGATGATGCCTGAGGGGATCCAGCTCCACCGAGCCAACGAGCCTGGGGTAAGTGAGTTTCCGTCATTGGCCTCCACTCGCGGCCTTGGGCGATTGGAACGATACATCTATATTGCCGACCTGTGCCACTTTTCTAGGGTTGGTTTGCACTTTTTGGCACGGTTTTAGGCGTTAGCGTCGTGTGACGGCGAACCTCCGCTTTGCCTGCCTTTAAACGGTGGGAAATAAGAACGGATGGATATGGTGCAGAAAGCGGGCAAAACGTGGAAGACAACAACCCATGGATCGACCGACATGTTTTTCGTTGGCGTTTCTCACAACTGCTGCGCTTCTCCCGTTCGAATTCCGTCGCATCCCGCGTTGCCAGATGTGGAACGAGGTGGTGTGCACCATCAAGGGCCGCAAGGTTTTCGTCTCCGCAGACAGCGCCGGCGATGAAGATGACGAGGGTTTTGTGGATGACGAGGCGTGATTCTTACCCCGGGGGTCATGTAGAAGTAGCCCTCCCCGCCCTGCTCGATGAGCACAACTGATACACATGGGCGTCGGACAAGAAAATTGCCATTTTTTTGGTGTGTTGTCCCCCCCCCCCCATCCCTAAATTTTCGTTGTTTGTCACGACGGAGAGTCTAAAGGTGACGGTGTGTGCGTGAGCTCATGCGTAGCTCGGGAACTCGCCTCGGCACGCTGTACTTTTGGCTCGAGATGTGAGGTTGAGGTTTTGGGACGATCGGCAGCCGGTTCCAGATAGCTAGAATTCTTGGGCATTCGCGCGTGTCGACAGCTAGCGTCGATGCGTCGAATGATGGAATCGTTGTAGGATACGCCTACGGCTGTTCGTGAGGCAGAAAGAAGACGGCAACGGGGGGTGGGGGGGTGATCGGCCCCTGTGCAAGGGACAATATTTCCCGAACGCCACGCTGTGAAACAACGCTATCCCTTCCGTGTGCGCGAGAATGTCCCTAATATTGTGTAGATGCCGTTGTGCTGGAGTGGGTGGAAACGATAGTGTGGTGCCGAGTAGACCTTTTTTCGAAGGGGACACCTACCTTTGGTTGTTTCTCCGTATGCCGACCTTGTTTTGTTGGCGAATTGTCACGCATTTGATGCACAAATACGTGTGCGCGGGCACGTGCCTTTTGTGCGTCAGGGCGGCGAGTGGCAGCGCTCTCGTCAGTCTCGTTCGTGGACCTTGATTCGTGCTCGGATGATGGTGTAGGTTTATGCGTACCACGAGTCGTGGTGTAGTAGAGAGGGAGTTTCACTTACGTCACGTGCTTGAAAATATTGACATTTTGTCATAAATGACAAAGTGAAATCCGAAACAGGGAAAAGGAAGGATGCGTGGGTGTGTTTCTTTTTGATTTGAATCCCCATCGGCCATTCTAACCTGCTCACGAATGAACCTCGTCAGTCTGATCTCGGGAGGATCAACGCGTAAGAACACGCTTCTCAACAGCGGGCCACGCGATAGGGGGGGCGCGGAGTAGATTGGATACAGGATGCAGTCTTCCGTGTTCGCTGGACACCACGAGTGGTAACGTGCCGAACTTCATGCTCTATGCTCTTCTAGCTTGCCCTGCAGTGGGCTGCTCGCTATGTGACTTCCGTTTGGTTGTTCCGTCACTACTTCATTGCTCTGAAGGAATGTATCGCTGCGAGTTGTTGCTGTCGACGGACGAACGGAAGATCTGATGAATCGAAGTCCGCGCTCTCTTGCACACCATTGCTATGCTCTTGTTGAAACTCGTGCTGCTGGCTTGTGGCAAAGTCGCGGAGACAAGGAGTTTCGGAATACCATTCACCTCTCAACGCATGATGTTGTTGTACTATTTGAGACTTCACCCGACGTCGTTGTACTGTCCCAGGAACGTTTTCACGAAATCCCCGCGCCACTAGGGAAATTTCTTGGGCCGTTGTTTCTTGGTGCTGAACGTGCATCGTCACGAACCCGTCCCGCAAAACAAAGTGCCGGGGCACTCCAACGAAGTCCATTCCGCAATGTACGGTAGTTTTCTCCCGCACATGAACGGAACGAGACACAACACTCCTGACAGAGAGAATATCTGCTGGCGCATTATTCATTGCTCATCTCTCTGTAGCGGCAGGCGAACCATAACCACCGCCCTGATCGCCGCGGAACCAGGGTCCTCTGTGGAGGCCGTCGGCATAGCCAAAAGGTCCGCCGGGATGTCCCCCACTTCAAAAGACGCCTCGCACGACCTTAGAAACTCCGCCTCTCGCTCTGGCCACCTGCGAAAAAAGTTTTCATGAACGCGGTTTTACACTCCGTCCAGTGATTCCTCTTGGTGCCCATTTGACAACAGCAGCATGCCGTAAGTTACACAGGATACCAACCCCCCTGGACTGATTTTCAAAGCTCGACTTCTCAGAGCAGAAACAGTGGCGGCGGTGTCGATCAAATTGGCGTTGCAGCTGTATCGTTGAGGGATTTTCGACTACGTATTGTTTGAGTCATATATCCTCTTGGTCGTCGAGTAGTAGTAGTAGTTGTTGTTGTCTTCACAGTAAGAACCGTTCCGTCTCCTCTCAGTACCTCCTGATATCCGTACAGGTCTAACTGACGCGGACGCCTTCCGTGGTCAAAAGTCAACTGCCCCCAAGGCAGTGGAGCTGCGGAAATCGATCCAGAGGGTGTGGTACCGTATGCCACCCTCGGTACCCGAACGAGTGCATACAAACTATACATGTACATGAAAAAATCCACGTGCGTAAACCGACCCCTGGCAGATGACCGTGGTATCCCAAGAATGTGCGGGCTGGAAATCGTGTCGAGCCGTCCGGTTTTCCGGGAACGCTTCGTGGGTCATCTGGCAGTCTTAGTGCCTCTAAATTTCGCGAGTTGGTGCGAGGTCGGGCAGGCCAAGTGGGATTCACAGAGAAATGTGCAATTCAACCGCTGGTACATATTCGGCCATGACATCATGGGCGTGGGCATCGTCAATACCACCACCGCCAGGAACACGAACAATTGGCTGTTTCATCTGTTCGGCTCTACTCGCTCTTATCCTCCAAGCCAAAACCATGAACCCCGTCCAGCTCGATCATCCTAACCCTGGTTTGGGCGAACCATCACCTTTTTCGCACGTGTTATTTTGTGTTATTTTCACCTCTCCTTGTAGATCAGGATGACCTTTGTCCCGGGCTTGGAGAGTCCCACCAGAGTGCGCCGCAAAGGCTCTCTCGTGTCCTCCTGCAGCAGGTCCAGCGCGGGCCAGTACAGCACCTCGCTGAGCACGATCACGTCGAACGCCCAAGACTCGTCATCGCTTGCGCCGCCACCGCCACTGCTGCTGCTACATCTTCTGCCTTCACCGCTATGGTTGTTGCACGGTGATGCCCGTGCGTTCGCGATGTCTTCCGCTTCACCCCACCGCAGGGCTACCACGCAAACTCTAGCCTCTCGCGTGGCTGCTGTCGGTACTCCTGTCGCCGCTGGCAGGTCGCTCCCACGGTTCACTGTTCCCGCTACAACGCCGCCACAGTCTCCACCAACATCAACGTCACTGGCTGGAACACCTCGGCGACAGCTGGTGCTCGTTCGAGCGTTGGCGAGCACCGTCGATCGTATGCGTACTAGATGGCACGGGAGGTCCGTGCAAGTAACCGACGCAGCCCCAGACCGCGCTAGGCCCACGGACAGGGCTCCCGTGCCTCCGCCGAGCTCGATCACGCGCTGGCGCCCCACGCACAAGAGACGAGAGGGAAAAAGCACGCATCCAATAGCACGGTCAAGGCACTTCTTGCTGTTTTCAGGGTTGAGAGATTTTCAAACGAAGGCAACGAAGTAGTCTGTATCCGTGGGACAGCAGTGCTTTGGGACAGTGGCTTGGTGGCAGAATGACTTTTCATCCAGAAAAACCCCACCGATTCCACGCCAACGCAACCCGACGGTTACCAGCCACCCGGCAGCTCACACGGTGAACTGCCACATTTTTGTAGAGATTGAGAAGACTCGAAACGGGCGCATCACTTCTGTCATCGAAGAGCGGTGTGAGCTCGGTAGTCGACGGTGACCTGTTGTACCGAGCAGATCCATTGATGGAGAATGATGAATCAGGGAAGACTCACGAGGAGGACGCTGATGGGGGGGGGGGGGCACCCACGTTTTGTAGGACCAAATAACTCGGCGTGGCGCGGACACCCCGCGAGTTGAGGATGGGTGAGCAAAACTGAAATGTTGCACCGGATGCTGACAGCCATTGTTTCACGTTGCGCTGCGCGCGTCTCGTGTTCGCTGGCGACTCCGCACGCGACAACGACTACTATAGCAGTGTCGGTCCGCTCGTGCACCACATCTACTCTGGAGCTCGAGGTATTTCTGGGCTACCGAATACCGTAGGAGATAGCGAGGTGCCGGCGGCCCCGCGTCTGCCCCCTGTTTTTTTCGCCGTTTCTTTACTTCAGAACAAAACTGGCTTATCTTGCCGAAGTATGATCGGACCGCGGCACCATTGCTTTGTATCCTATTGGCTCATGCATGGGGCGAGCTCGCTGGCACCACTTTCTACCGAAATCAAGTATTTCCTTCAACGTCCTTGAACGCGAGGCCCAGCAAGCTATTGAACAAACGTGCCATTGGGGGGTTGGACAATCCTGGAAAAAACGGCAACAACATCGTGAGCATGTTGTCCAAATGGTTGTACATGCCTACAAAGTCTATACGCATAGCACGCAAACGTCATGTACCTTGTCTCTGACCGTGAACATGTTGTCCTTGCGGGGGTCTGCGACTAAATCCCACAGCACTTGGGTACAGTCCCACAGCGTTCTGCCCGTGAGCTCCATGTCTTCTTCATCTCCGTCCTCACCAATACCACGGTCATCACAGCAATAATCTTGCCGTGTCCCCACCTCTCCTGCTGCCGTTGTTGCGGACGTTTCGAAGGGAAGCGGCAAAGGACCATCGTCGGTGCAGGCGGTGCCAACAGCCACCGGTTCTATCCCCCAGCGAGACGACAGCACCACTGGCATACTCGCGACCCGTGTGGGTGATCAACTTGCAGCACCTCCGGAGAACGAGGGATGGATGTGCTACGCTTGTGTCCGATCCCTCGGCGTGGATGTGCTGCGCTTGTTCCCGATCCCTCGGCGTCCAAGAGTCACCAGGGAAAGGCAGAAGATGTGAATAAGACGAAAAAGCTATGTTGTAGCTCGAATATCTTTATGGCTGTTGTACGAAGATGCCAAGCGTGTATATTCGGCTGGCAGCGAGCGAGACATGTTGAGGAAACGAACACCAGTGCCATTGAGCCATGCCTGCAGTCCCGAACCGGTGGAAGTTGCACCGCGCCAAACCCGCCGAATGCACGATGACTGACGCGCGTCACTTGCACATTGACACCATGACCAGATGACCAGACAGAGTGGGTCCACGCCAGCGAATCTTCTTTGGATATCGGAGTGCGGCGACCCTAGGCGTACGCCAAGGTATGTAGCACAAATGGCAGGCACCCCGCCATGGCTAGCATGCAAACAATGCGTTGTTTTTTCTCCCTGTCCCGGAGGACTTTTTCGCCCCACAAGGTACATACAGAACCGGTCGCCCCGGTGGTCTAGTGGATACCGTATTCTACACAAGATACCACACCCCGGTGATAACATTTTGGGCTTCAAAAATATTATCACCGGGTGTGGTATTGTGGGGGGTGTGTGGTATCTTGTGTACCCCGGTGATAAAGCCTAGCTCGCAGGAGCTCCTTAGGGGGTGTGATAAACCAGGGGGTGTGGTAGCACATGCGACCACCCACAGGGAGGGTTTGGGAGTGGGATAAAAAAGGGTGTGTGATAAAATGGGGTGTGATAACACGTCGGAACACCCAAAGAGTGTGTTCGGGTGTGTGATAAACAGGGGGTGTGCCGTTTGCGTAGAAGTCTGCTCGGGTTGAAAGAACGAGGTGATCTGTGGCGCCTGTGCTGCTGCGGTCGAAGCAGTCGTGGGAGAAGCAGATGTACTTGCGGCGGCATTCTGCTCTTCCCGCACGTTCATGTTCTCTGAGGTCTCCATGTCTCCCCCCGTACGGTACAAGCTGTGCGTGTGTGATGCTGTTTCACCCCCGGTGATAGAGACAGGGAATGTATGCGGCGTAACCTGTGTTATCACCGGGGTGTGGTATCTTGTGTACCCCTGGTGATAAATCATGGTCTGAAAAATACACCCAAAATTACCACCGGGGTGTGGTATTGTGGGGGGGGTGTGGTATCTTATGAGGGTGTGGTATCTTGTGTAGAATACGGTAACCTCGCAGCCTGCTAAGGGCCAGGTCATGGGTTCGAGTCCCGGCAGGGTGATTTTTTCTCTCTGTAAAGAAATCCTGGTCTAGAATGAAAGCGACGCGCTGCAAAGCTTGTTGTTAGTAAACCATAATCGACTTCGTGAGTCGCGAGGGAAGGGATTGCTGTACTGTCGCGATAAAAATACCTCAGGCAGGAACCGCAGGAGGGGGTCCAGCCCCCCCCTCCTATGTGACCCCGGTTGGGTCGTCTAGCTATTATATAGTAGAAGTGGAGGATAGGGGCCAGAGAGGCAGACGACAGAGTCCAATGATGGGAGAAAAAAAAAAAATGTGCCCAAGTATGTGGAGCGAAGAGGCAAACAGCTAGAGAGATCAAGTACTTCGTGAGTGTGTGTTCTCGTCTCATCTATCAGTGAGTGGGGAACGGGCCAACTCAAATGGTTGCAAGAGCCAATTAGCTTTGTTGGAGAAAAATATGGTAAGTTTGGCGCTCGTAACTCGTACATGCAGCAGTAGGGTGAGGGTAGTCAAACTCGCGTCGAGCCTCAATCCCTCATTTTGGGTCCAAGGACCGGCCGAAGTCGTCTGTTTTCTTAAAAGGGCATTTCTTGTTCCTTTGGTCGCATCCTCCCAATCCTCTTATTTCTCTCTTCGTATATTTCATTATTTGGCTAAAGAATTGAATTGCAACACAACAAATGGTAGCTGGATGTGGCTATTGGTGTGGCGAAATAAGCACCATCTCTCCCCCCCACCAAACAAATGCACTAGGTAGGGGGGTGAGAACACGGAAGGATCAACAGTGGGACGCTTCTTTTTGGGTAGGCTCCTCCAGCTGTCCCTTGTTTCCAATGTCTCGGGGGTATCGCACCACCATGTTTCTGATTGGGACGTTTCTCATGTTGTGGCTGAGATTGAGCTGTGTTACATAGGCCATTTGTTACGATGTCTTTTTTTCGGCTGTCTTTTAATGACAACTGGCCAAATAGCCCCGTGTTAGACCGTCTTTTTTTGCTAAAATATGACAACGACAAAATGACGAACCTTTTTTGACAGCCTATCCTGTCATTTTTTGGGCAACACTTTGACAGGATGCGCTTGTCCGAAAAGCTTAAGATTTTTTCAAATCACGCGCCGACGTTGCTGGCACACACACACACAAGCATCGCCAATGTGGGAGTGGCTGCCATCGCTGGAACTCCTCGCTGGCGGCGGGAGTGCCACTCGCTTGACTCCACCCTACATCAGCAGCCTGGACTCTCTTCCGATGGCCGAAACCGGTGTGGGTGATGCCCTGCTACCAGCAACCGCTCTTGCTGTGGTCTTGGTCGCCCTTGATGAGGTCCAACGCAACGACTTGTCGCAAGAAGAGGAGGAGGATCGTGCGCCCGACCTTCCCCGCCCCAAACTCTCAAGAGGACAGCGAAAGAGGAAAGACGTGGAGAAATGCGCTTGGGCAAAGATGTTGGAGGATAAGGACCTCGAGGACAGCAACAGCATAACCTCCAAGCAGTTTCGCCTTGACTTTCGCGTCCCCTACAGCTTCTTTCTGCGGCTCGGGGCGTTGGTGAAGAGCAAGGACTGGTTCACCACTTCTGGCTGCGATGCAGCAGGTCGGCAAAGCCACCAAGTGGAGCACAAGGTAGGCTGACGGCATATTGGGTTCGTACGAGTGCAGACTCTGGCCTATAACCAAGAAGGGGAGCTGCTGTGGTGTAGAGTTGAACATATGTAGCGGAGGGACAACTGCTGTAGACAACATTTTTCTATTCCTCCTGTTGCCAGCTGCATGCCGTCTCTGGGGCATGCCCGACACGACTCGCTTGGTGACCGCTGGCCGTGTTTGCACAGTCGGGCTCGCNCACAGTCGGGCTCAAACATGTTACTCAAATCGTACAGCAGTACAGATGCTCTGTCCACAAGCAACAAGGAGGGGACTGCTGCTGCTGCTGTTGTGTAGGGTGCATTAGGCGGAGGAACCAGGCGCATATTGTATTTGTGCATGCAGCTGCATGCCGTCTCCTGGGCATATGACGAGACACGGTTGGTGACCACCGGCCGTGCGCTCCAACCCTCGAAAAAAGTGCACCCGGCCGCTCTGCTGTCGTGCACAACAGCATATGTTCACCGGACAGTGTTTCGTCGGTGTTGTCTGTAGGTAGAGCATGTACTTTTGGTTCAACTGCTGCTATGTACAACTGCAGCACCACCGTTGTGACGTCACATCGGGTTGAACTGGCGTCCGAGATAACGCAGGAGAAGAGCGCTGCAGTCGGCGCGACTTCGCAAAGCTAAACTGGCAGTCGTTCTGTTGGCTAGCGTACGCCGCAATGCTCAGTCCTCCCGCCCGTGAGATGCTTCCACACGACGTACGGTACACGCAACCACATCACATCACTAATAATGACACCGCGATATCCCGTGTGTACATTCCTTGTTGCACTTGCTGGTGCAGGTACTGGCCTGGCTGACCATACTCGGCAGGGGCAACTGCTTTGCAAGCATCTACCAGATGTCTTGGATGAGCGGGAAGACCGTGCAGACGATGTTCCACAAGTTCCGCAAGCACTTCGCACGGGAAATGTACGATGAACACATCTACCTCCCGTCGGAACAGAACGGCGAGCTGGACCACGTCATGGAGCAGTGTGACCGGCTTGGGTTTTTGGGCGCGATGAGCTCCATGGGCGTAACTCACATCGGTTGGAGTATGTTCCCCTACAACCTAGCCCGTCCCTACACAGGCAAAGAGGGGTTCCTACGATCGGGTACCAGGTCACGGTTAATCACGCTGGCCGTGCAATTGTCGTGACCGAGGGCTTCACTGGCTCGACGAACGACAAGACCATCATCTGCTGGGATGCCGCGGTCGAGAAGATTCGGACGGACAAGCAGTACCCGAAGCAGACCTTCGACGTGTACAACGAGGATGGCACGACGACAACGCTCAAGGGGTGCTACTTGCTAGTCGACAACGGGTACCACAAGGTGGATGGAAATGACATGTTGTGATTTTGGGTGACCGACGGTAGTGTTTTTGAAGAGGTGTGTGTCCGGCCTGGCAGAAAGAGAGAGAGAGAGAGCTGCCCAGTGAGGTATTTGTTGGCTCGGGAAATCAGAACCTCGGTTGCCCGCTCTTGAAGTTGACATGAGGTATGTCATGGCTTTAGGTTATTTGATTGGTATTTCCATTGCACGCCCCTTCGACCTCGAAGACCCTGCCCCCCCCCCCTATTTCGCAGCTTGTCAACAGCGTCGAATCGAAACGTCCCTCCCTCGGCCCTTCTCCATTCCCCTTGTCGTTTTTTTTTCAGTGGGAAATCCTGGTGGAACCCACCAAGGACCCGCTGAGCGAGAACGACATCCCCTTTTCGAAGAGGCTGGAGAGCGTGCGCAAGGACGTGGAGTGCTTCTTCAGCATCCTGAAGGGTCGCTTCAGGATCCTGAGCTCGCCATGGCGTACCACGAGCAGGAGCGCATCGACAACGTGTTCTTAACGTGCTGCATCTTGCATAACACGCTGCACACCTTCGACAGAATGGACCAGCTGGTGGAGAACACGCTCTGGGCCAGCAGTGCCGGGGCGGGGACTGGGGTGGCGACCGAGCAGGAGGCGGACTCTAGCTCTATTGGGGCTAAGGACACCAACGACAAAGAGCAAGTAGAGAAAGGGCACGGGGAGCGCAAGAGGAAGCTTACTACGAGCTTCGCGTACCGCATGAAGCACAAGAAGGACATTGTCTGGCTTTCTAGGTGATCGACTCCGGTGTACTGTAGAGCTTTGCATAGTGTCAATGTTGCGCCCCACCTTGTCTTACACAAACCGCTGCAGCACCGTGTGACTTGTGTGGTGCTCGGGTGAACATTTTCTGGTAGCGTGTGTGACTTTTTTTTGGGTACATGGTACGGCAGCAATGGATTTTATTTTCATTCCCACTCCACCCCCCCTTCCCCGTTCCCTGTACCCACCACGTGTGTTTTGGTTGTACCGTCTGACTTGTGTGGTGCTCGGGTGGATATTTTCTGGTAGCGTGTGTGACTTTTTTTTGGGTACATGGTACGGCAGCAATGGTTTTTGTTTTCATTCCCACCGCCCCACCTTCCCGGTTCCCTGTACCCACCACGTATTTTTTGGTTGTACCGTGTGACTTGTGTGTTGCTCGGGTGAACATTTTCCGGTAGCGTGTGTGACTCTTTTTTTGGGTACATGGTACGGCAGCAATGGGTTTAGTTTTCATTCCCACCGCCCCCCCTTCCCGGTCCCCTGTACCCACCACGTGTTTTTGGTTGTACCGTGTGACTTGTGTGGTGCTCGGGTGAACATTTTCCGGTAGCGTGTGTGACTTTTTTTTTGGGGTATATGGTACGGCAGCAATGGATTTTATTTTCATTCCCACTCCACCCCCCCTTCCCCGTTCCCTGTACCCACCACGTGTGTTTTGGTTGTACCGTCTGACTTGTGTGGTGCTCGGGTGGATATTTTCTGGTAGCGTGTGTGACTTTTTTTTGGGTACATGGTACGGCAGCAATGGGTTAAATTTTCATTCCCACCGCCCCCCCTTCCCCGTCCCCTGTACCCACCACGTGCTTCTTGGTTGTACCGTGTGACTTGTGTGGTGCTCGGGTGAATATTTTCTGGTAGCGTGTGTGACTTTTTTTTGGGTACATGGTACGGCAGCAATGGGTTAAATTTTCATTCCCACCGCCCCCCCTTCCCCGTCCCCTGTACCCACCACGTGCTTCTTGGTTGTACCGTGTGACTTGTGTGGTGCTCGGGTGAATATTTTCTGGTAGCGTGTGTGACTTTTTTTTGGGTACATGGTACGGCAGCAATGGGTTAAATTTTCATTCCCACCGCCCCCCCTTCCCCGTCCCCTGTACCCACCACGTGCTTCTTGGTTGTACCGTGTGACTTGTGTGGTGCTCGGGTGAACATTCTTGTAGCGTGCGTGCCCTTTGTTTCGCGTACGGACTACGGCAGTAATACTTTTTGCTGCAGAACCCCCACCGTCCCGCGTGTGTGTGGTTTCTTATGCATTCATATTTGTTTCCACCTGCCTGTCTTTACGGCCTGGGAGGCATGCGGTGTATGCAAAGGTCGTCGCACAAAGGGGAGGTGGCCTTGCGAGACGGGCCTCCTTCTCAACTGCAATTGTAGAAGGCGTCAAGAGGGATTTTATCCCTGACAACGAACCACAATCATTTTCCACCAGTGTAACGGTGACACGAAATTTCAATCAACATCACAGTAAAAGGGGGCACAGAAGGGGCACCCCGAAGGCTTCAGCGGTACGTTGCAGCACATGGGGCACCGATGCTGGTGACACACAAGCACGGCGAAACAACCGGCATTACAGGGTCGGGGGAACAGGGTGCAACAACGTCTTTACTAATAACGTGTAAAAGGGAAACAAGCATGACAAGCATTACTGCCGCAGCCCACACGCAAAAAAAATCACAACCGTTTACAAGAAAAAAAAACTCTCAAAGAGAAGGCATGTCGGACGGTGCAAACAACATCTTTACAATAAAACTTGGGCACAAGGGGACGGAGGGGGAGAGGGCATGACAAGCATGGCTGCCATAGCCCGTACACACAAAAAAACAACCGCTACAAGACAAATGAAAATACCCAAAGAGAAGACAAGAAAACATGGGGACGAAGGGGGGAGGGAGGGGGCATGACAAGCGTTACTGCCGTAGCCCGCACGCCAAAACAAAACACAACCGCTTCAAGAAAAAAAACACCCAAAGAGAAGGCATGTCGGACGGTGCAAACAACGTCTTTACAAGAAAACTTGGGCACAAGGGGACAGAGGGGGAGAGGGCATGACAAGCATGGCTGCCATAGCCCGTACACAAAAAAACCACACACACTCTCTCTCTAAATTCTCACGTGTCCAGCCGCGCTAGCAACGGGACGTGCCGCTCTCGCACCAACACCACCCCTCTTCCGCGCCCCGGTGAATCCCGGGAGGGCGGGCCGTGTTGCAGACTGTGTTGCGCCCAAGGCGACGGGGGCAACTACCGCAGCAGAGGAAGTAGGCGTTGCCGTAGCGGGCGATGACGACACGGGCGTACGACTGGAAGCTACCCCCGCCGCGGACACGGGTGTAGCCGCCGCGGGCGAGGACGACATGGGGGCTGGGCTGCCTCCTACCCCGGCCGTAGATGCGCGTGTTGCCGCAGCAGGCGGAGTAGAAGCGGACGTACGGAGTGCAGCTCCTGCGCCGGGTGGTGTCGCCGCCGAGATGGGTTTGGCCAAGAAGTAGCTGTCGGGCTGCTCGTACGCGGCCATTATTGCGGCTCGCAGTTCCATCGTTTTTTGTTCGGATGGTGCATACTCCAACATCCCCTTGAGGTCTGCAATTTTCGCCTTTTTGGCCTCTCGAGCGTCCGCCAAGCGAGCCCTGCCTGCGGCCTCTTCATCCAAAGACTGCCTCGACACAACAGCCGCCGACAGAGCTTCCACGGCCGTCACCAGCTTGCCTGTGTTGGTCTCCTGGACGCGGCGGGCCTGCAGTTGCGCGTTGGCGGCCGCTACCGCAGCAGTCTCCTTCACCTGTGCTAGGCTTTCAATTTCGCCGGCCCCTGTGAACATCCGGATCGCGTTGGACGAGAGATCAATCTCGGTGTACGCACCGCTCTCCGACCCGCTTTCGTCGCTGGTGCCGGGTGACCCTTTCTTCGCCTTCTGCGTCCCGCCGCAACCCTTGGCCCCGGACGCGCCGCGACCGTTGGGTCCGGATGTTTTGCGTGCGGTTCGGAGGTCAGGGTCCTCGCTGCTGCATGGCCTTCCGATCAAACAGAATGTCAGGAGATACTGGTGCATCCACTTGTTTGGCCTCTGCGGAAACCAGCCCTCTTCTCGTGTGATTTCTTCGGA